CAGCACAGGACTGGGACCTTGTTCAGCTATTTGTGCCCACAGAAATGAGGTCTAACGTAAAACAAACGTAAGCTGAATGTGAGCAAGAATTTGTCATGCATGTGGGCAAGCGCTTAGGTGTGCTTATTCTGCAAATTCTGCACTTTCAGGACAGTGGAGATATGGCTATATTTAGAACAACCTCCCATTTTGATCTACTGTACTTCTTGTGTCCTTCGAGAAGTCATCTATCGTAGATGCGATGACGTTTTTGTGGTGAACAGTTATGCAAACACGGAACAATATATAGAAACAGGCCATGTATAAATACACGAAGAAAAAATGGAAACACACACTGACCTTGTCAGGTGTTTGCTTGATGCATGAACCTCCATTTCGTTGCTCTTGAACTCATTCAGCTCTTTTCGTATCGCCGCCTGCGAGGCGAAAAAAACAAGAATGAGCTCCTGACAGTCACTGGACAACAGACACTCATGCAGCGGGTCACTGGAAAGAAGATCACCTGCTTTCCACCTGATGTTTTATTAATGATCTGTTCCGGTTTTGTTGACAACACAAGCTGCTCATGACGAGGCTCACACAGAATGCTAATGCATATCATCCAGTTTTACACATCCTCTGGACCGTTTGTGTTTATTTACTATAGAAAACTTTGGGGTCCGTAAGATTTTAAAATATTTTAGGAAGAAGTCTTTTTTGCTCACTAGGCTGCAGTTATTTGATCAAAAATACAGTAATATTGTGAAATATTATTACAATTTAAAATTGCTGCTTTCCATTTGAATATCTGTTAAGCTGTAATTTATTTCTGTGATGCGCAGCTGTATTTTCAGCATCATTACTCCAGTCTTCAGTGTCACATGATCTTCAGAAATCATTCTAATATGCTGCTTGGCAGCTCAAGAAACATTTCTACATTATTAGCAATGTTGAAAACAGTTGTGCTGCTGAATTTTTTTGCGGAAACTGTGATACATTTTTATTTTTCAGGATTCACAGATGAATAGAACGTTCAAAAGAATGTCTTTAATGTCACTTTTGATTAATTTTATGCATCCTTGCTGAAAAAAAATGCTTGAATAGTCCATATTTTGTCTAATATGAAAATACGGTCTGGAACTGTTTAATACAACTTATAAATATATAAATAATATACATCCTTTCTGTAGATCCCACAAATATTTCCAAAAATAGGCACATAAAATGTGAACTTCGCAGACCTGTCCTAGATTTGATCAAATATATACATTTTTATTTCTTTATCATTTTATTAATGTGTTATATAATACTCAAGGTATTGTAGATCAACAAAACCTAGAATTATGATATTTCTTATATCAAATGCATCAGTGTGTGTTGGCCTGTAGGGGGCGCGTGTGAGTTTCTAATGCACACACACCTTATCTGCAGCAGATAGTCTTGTCCAGGGCTTGTCTGCTCTCCTGTCGTAATCCTGAGCTTTGGCCACTTCCACATAGTCACTGAAACGGATCAGAATCTTTCTGTCCCGCAGCTCGTCAACGGTGGGCCGCTGGTTGAGCTGGAAAGACAAGAATAAGATAGAGGTTTAGTCAAACAGCAAACAGATTGTTCCTAGTTAAATTCTGTATAGGATGAGCTGTGTTTCAAGCTGTTGTAATGCCGATAAAACACAAAGGCTATTGATAGTCCCATGATCCAGTTAAATCCAGTTAAAATGATTCAGGTCGTCCGTGTTATTATTAATAAATGCAATTATGTATTGACTGTTGGTGTCTGTTATCTCTGTTGCTGCAGTAATCCACTCAGGCTTGCGTGTTGCAATGATTTGACCACATTTAAGTGGCTTTACGTCAACACTCTTGACTTACTGCTTTAATAAAACATCAATCAATGATGTGCCATTAACTTAAGCATAATATGCGATATATACAGAGAGGAGGAATTTGTGATTTTTTTCTCTTAAGAATTGTAATTTTGTCCAATTGTTATAAGTTGTTTTAAAACTGTCATTCTTTTTGGCATAGAAAGTTGGCTTTTGAGTGCCTGCTGCACAGTGAATGCCTGGTATTACAGTACTAGTGTCTTCCTCAGATGACAGAGTGAATACTGCAGGCTAAGCCGACACATGACAACAAATATATGTGTGTATACTGTATGTGTCTCGATCAGTGAGGTGTTTTTTGTCAGGATCCACATACCTTTCTGTTTAGCCTTTGCTTAATTTCCCTTCTCTCCTCTTGCTCTGTCTGGTCATTCCTCTCTGCAAATCCACCAAAAAAACAAAAAAAAATCACAGATGAGAAAAAGCACGCACGCAGTTCGCAGAGGTACAGATGAACTTTGAAGTTTTTAATGCAGCACACTACATGAAGGGCTCGCATACACTCCACAGCACTCATGTACCACTGCTGGAATATCTAGCAAGACACTTCTTTAAGCTATTCCTCCATCTTACGTCAAAAGTCAATGTATTCAATATGTATGTTGATTTTATTTTTAAATAAACAATAAACCAATATTCTAATGATTTCTTAAAACTTCTCATGGCTTGGCTCCATGTCTAGCTCGTGCTAAAATCAGATCTCTTGAACATCTGCTGTCCAATCCAGCTCATAATGCCAGAGCACCAGATTACAGCATTTCTTTAATAGGCTTTACCCTTTCATAGCACAGGATAACATTGTTCTCTTACATTTCCCTCTGTCAAATACGTGGATTATCTGAATCTGTGCTGCGAAGGACTTAGCGTGGGAAAATACGGGGCGCATGCGTCTATCTAGTATGATTGAACTACGATAAACCACTTCTGAAAGCGCTTTTAATATTCCTGTCACTTCAGGACTCTCTCCTTGTTGCTCGTCCTTGCTTTGACTAACACCTTGTCTCAGATCCCAGTGTTTGGAGAGTGAGTGCATGCGAACAGGTGCGAGAGATCAGCCAAAGTCAGCAGACAGCTGCTCAGAGTCAGAAGACACAGGTGCCGCGGCCCAAGATAGAGGCCTCAACTAAATAAACAAGCCCCATCACAAGTGTGCTGAGGACACATGCTAGAAATACACTATCCTACACAATAATACAATACTGATGAAAAAAAGCCTAGTCACAAAAACGTTTTTTTTTTTCTTAGAAATGTCAGTAATTATTTTAAGACTGTGAAAATCATCCCCCCACAATTACACCGTTACAAAGCAATTAAATGAAATTACATTAAAATGACACTCGGTTTCACTCAGATTGTGGTCATGTCTGTGTAATCTCTGTCTCGCCCTCACAATCTGTAATCACTGATATTATTGTGTCGAGCTCCAGACAGATTGCCTCTATAATCTCTCGATTCCAGACGAGCTGAAATTACATTCACGCCTCCCTCAGATTTTTTTATTTTTTTTTTATGTGTCTCCTTATGGATTTGCTTTTGTCCTGAATTCAATTATTTATCAAATTTCAAATGACTTTTGTCAGAATTATAGAGACTGTTACAGAAGAAACACAGAATATAACTTTTACCTTAGAAATACATTGAACAATATTTAGTGTTGAAAGAGTTTTCACTCAGAAATTGACTCACAAACAGCTACAAAGAAAAAGCAAGTGACACATTAGATGTGAAATTTTGAAGTAGAAAAACTGAAATCATGTAAAACATTTTCCGATAACGCATTGCGTGCTCACGTTGTATGCAAACATAATTGCAACCTGATCTAGTTATGAAAACTTTATAACCTAATACTTTTATTTGTACTTCAAATAATTTTGTCTGGTGACAAAAGGTGAATATAGTGTCAAATCAGTCACAGCATAAAATATAAATAAGTGGTGACACAGTTGTGACCGATCTGTTTCTATCTGATCTAACTCTTGTAAATGTCTTTTGGGATATATCCTAATCCGGTCAAGATGATTTAGTCACATGAAATGCTGAAAAAAAAAATGCTGGGTTAAATACAACCCAGTGCTGGGTAAAATAGGGACAAACCCAGAATTTCAAGCAAAATGGTTATGTTATTTGTCAACAGGCAGATAATAAACATTATTTCCACAGGGGAAAAAAGGCTCACTCCAGCATCCCAGACGCGTAATCTCTGATCTGACAGGTGCCATACTCACGTTTGAGGATGTTCCGGCTCTCCAGCTCCTCCACCGCTGGTCTCTGACTCAGTCTCCTGCGGAAAAACACCAAAATCACGTTCTGGACCATTTTCATGCAATCTCCAAAGTGTCTGTGACAGTCTCTGTTCAGCAGCGCGTGAGTGTCAGTGTCAGTGGGGATCCCGCGATCCGAGCATGTTACAGGGAAACCCTGCGTCCCATCTCGCGTCTAAACATCGCCGAGGATCTTCATGTCTAAAGCACTCCCACATCAGGGGATATCACGAGGTTTATTATTATCTGTGCTTGAAATTCCCTGATTTGACGGAATGAAGCGAACGGAACTTGCTCGTGCGAGCGCGGTTACTATACGAAAGCCTCATCGACGAAGAAATCCGTCGATAAGTGTCGGTTTGTATCAAAATGCAATAGAAAAGAGTGAAAAAGATGAAGTGGAGACGGAGATGAGCATCTGCTCCTGAGTTCTCTGAAGTCTCAGAGTGCTGTGTGTGATACTGGAGATCCTTTACGCATCATTTATAAAGGGGGCGGTGCGTGCGGGAGAGATTCCCACGCACACTCAGTGCTCGCGCCGGAGGAATATGCTGCAGTCAGGGAAAATGCAACCTCCATGGATGCTTTAATATCGAAGCAATATTAATGTTGATCTCATCGCGCTATATAAAGTATATACAGGCCAGTAGGCCATTTGTTGAGAGTGAAAAGCATCGGCGTTGTCATGTTGAACAGATACGTATCGCTTTAGTTCACTCAGTCTCAGTGCTTTGTATTTCGTGTTGGGCGGGGCTTTCATATGCATATGAAATATATGAATGTAAAATTATGTAATCGTTCAACAAGCAATAATGTGCTTTTATGATATTCATAATCCCATAAGGCTAAACGCTTCTCAAAACCTTTGAATTCCAAAGATAGCATTCAAGGGAATATCTCATACAGTGTTGATTATTTCAGCTATATTGCACCACAATTTGTTCTTCTTTTCTTTTTCACATCCTATTGGAAAGGACGTGCTCACACACTTTGAAAACAAGCAGTGAGTTGTGATGGCATTGCAAAAAAAAAAAAAAAAAAAAAGATTTGACATTTGTCCAATGAAAAAAATAATAATAATCTTGTTTTGTCTGATTGTGCTGTAAGATAACAATGGCTAAGAATAGTCTTTACACTGAACTGCACAATCTGCTCATTTATTGTAGACCACCTTGCAAACCCCCAGGACATTGGGGCCCCTAGGTGACCACTTATATCACCTAAATGATGGAAAGCTTCATATCACTCCCTCACTGCTAGAGGACAGCTGAAGTCTTCAGTGTGATCAACACTTTAATTGTCACGGCACAACAGAACATGATGCCTCGAACCATAAAGACGGCAGGCTTAAGGCTGACTTGCACACTGCTGTTAAAAAACACAGTTCCATATTTTTTAATCTCGCCTGATTGGCCCAGGTCCTGGAAATATTAGCTGTGGGGAGATTAAGCCGAGCCAAGCCATCCGGAGCGGAAGCTCAGCTGTGATACCACATTCACTGAAGCCTTTAAATGCACCCAGCGTGAGAAGAACGTTAATACTACTAGATAAATTAATAAGGTTGAATTCCATAGGTTTTTCGGTAGCACTTTACAGTGAGGTTCCATTTGTTAACATTAGTTAACTGCGGTAGATTAATAAATACTGTAATAAATGTATTGCTTATTGTTAGTTAACGTTGGTTAATGCATTAACTAATGTTAAGGAATCTTACTGTAAAGTGTTACCGGTTTTCCTAGATGGCTGAGAGGGTTTGCTCCTGTTAAAAAAACAAAAACAAAAAGACAACCTGAATACAGACTATAAAAAGGCAGGGTGTGATTTTTTCAAAAGCTGAAATACAGTTAAAAGCCTCTAATATCAAGCATTTATTTCTGAAATATACAAAATGTGCTATACAGAGAGTGCTTATGGAGAAATGGCTATTCAGGGAAATGTATTTATCAGCTCAATACAACATCTCGAAGGCGTTTAGTTCTTTATAATTCAGAACACCCTGCTACTCAGACGCACAGGAAGCCAGTTCCTTCCTGACGATAACTTCCTCCACTTATGAAACATGAGGATTTGATATATATGAAGTGACCCTCCGCTGTGTCAGAGCGATAAGCCGGTTACAGGAGCAGCCCCTGATGGGTCTGTCAGTGAGTGGTTGTGAGTCAGTCTGGATTTCACGGCCTGCCATTGTCCAGTGAGCTGTGCCTTAATGCCCGACCCTCGCTCCGGTCGACCCAGCAGAGGGGCCGGCGATATGAAGGATGCTTGACTGCATGGGTGGCCATTATGGCTTTGATTGATGGCCAAGTGTGTCTAGGACACCCTGAGGGACAAGGATGCCAAGCATCATTACAAAAGTTTACATCCATGCTAAGGAATAGTTTGAGCGTTTATGTAACTTCCAGGGTGCTTCTTCGGGTGCCATTTGGATTCGTGAGTGCGTGCTAAAAATGAGATGTACGAGAGAGATGAAGGAACTGAAATCTTGTTTTGTTTTGTTTCTCTAAGACAGGTAATATTACACTGTGCCATTTACAGTACGTAATGAAGAAGCCATCTATCCTATTACAAATAAAAAAAAGAAATGTTAACAAATTGTTGTTGAAGAGTATATTATAGCTATTTGTTGAACATCATAAAGATGCAACATCATAAATTATTTCATGATTGTTTCATCTGGATATTTACTATTCCACTTGCATTAAACTCCACAGCAACACAAGCTGTTTGAAACGATCCTCTCACATTCAAATCATGATGTATGTCAAACAGAAAGGCAGCCAAATATCGAGCCATTTTCAAAATGCCGTACCTGCTATAGTAAATATATAAATAAAGGCTTAGACATGAAAGCAATTTTATTCTAGACTCGCTTTCAATAATTCATCAAATCTCTCGGCTGACCCCAGGTCTGCTCTTTAGAACAGAACAACATGTGAGACAAAGAGCTGGTGGCCTCCGTCTGTCCCTGCATAACCCACACCAGGAACAACATGAGGTCTGATCTTCAAACGCCTCCACATCTAAAGTGTGATCCAGTGTGAGCTGTGCTCCTCTTCTGATGTACTTCAGAAACGTGTGACAGCTGTCACAACAAACTCAACTGAATTACAAGAAAATTGATTTATTGGCCCGCTTTTAAGAAAGGACGATTGGCATACCTCACATGCATTACAAATACTGTATTTTCTTCATTCTTCAAGTTGGGTAAATTGAAACCAAACAAGATACTAATTGCTTCATGCATTATTTTTGACCCATTCAGCTCTTTCCTTAAATAGATTTGTATCCTCATGTGGCCAGAACTGGGAATGAACACAAATCGATTAGCTATTGGGTTGAAACAATGTCTGCCATAGGAGGAACACAGCAACTCGGCCCTTTCCAGTGATTGATTTTCCAATACTGGGATTTGTATTGGAAGCAGCTCGGTGAATTGGTGCTATATTAGAAGAGTACTGTATTACGTCTGTTCAGCTGACAAAACATCACACATTTCTTGTTTGCTATTTTGTAAATTTTGTCAAAATATATACCTTTTTTTCATCCTTTTTGAAATAACATGCACAACTCGATCGTTGACAATGGGAAAGGGAATGTATATTAGGAAACTTAAGAACGTCAGTTTAATTTCATTCTTGAAAGATTAAAACAGAATAGAAGATTTTGAAAGCAGATCTGGAGTATGTAACTCTGATGCAATGGAATGTGGGCAGGTTGTGTATGGTATTGTGCCTCTGATGACTCAATTAGCAAGTGTATTCAAATGTAAATATAGTGCTTTCACTGTAGGATGGCAGCGTCTAATTCCAGGATCTGGGCTTTTCTTGGAGTTGTAAAGGCGATGTCACATCCGGTGCTAGCGTCATGTGTAAGATATATAATAGTTATGAAGTCACCATGGATCCCAAGCATTGGGCCGTTGCCTGGTTGCGAAGTTGAGCTTAATTTAGCAGAGAGAATACAGGCCAGGAACACACGGTGAATAATATTGCTGCATGGGTAAATGGTTCAAACACAGTCACAGTAAGGAGACAGCCTGAACGCCCATTACTACAGAGCGCAACTCACGGTCATGACTCCGCTTCAGTCCTGTGGTCCTGTCAGAATGTGTGATAGATACATGTTTGTTTTGTGGGATGATGAGTTTAACGATTCTAAAAGTCTGTGAAATTATTTTAAAAAGTGTCAAAAGTCCAATGATATGTCATTGATTACAAACTGTTTTAAGGTAAACTAAGGTAAGCATAATCTACTTTTGCTCATACTATGTAACATTTTTGAGGAGTCTAATTTATTCATATAGCACTTTTCACACTACGCATGGTTTTAAAGCAGCTTTGTCAGAAAGCCGTAATGTTATGTCTATAGCGCTTTAGGTCTAGAACAGGTTTTTGTGCATAATGAGCGTACATTCAAACTTTGAATTTCAAAGCAACTGAGAGGTTTAAATATTGATTGGTTTTGTTTATTGAAGACATTTAAATGTTAGTCGTTTTTTTCTATTTAGAAATTTAAATGTTGATCTGTTTTGTTCTAAGTAAGAGTAAGTGATTCTCAAAAAGAACATAAAAATAAAAATAAGCATTGCATGTCGCAGATGAAACGTCTGAAAAATGCTGATGCTCTGGCAAATCCCTGGATAAAGTACAGGGATTTGGGGTTTTATTGTAAGTGAGAGTAAACGATTCTCATAAAACATCAATGAAGATACGATCGGTTGTCTTAGGTGAAAATTAGCCGGTTGCCAAAGAGTCTGATGTGAGTTTAAAGGGGTCATGAAATAGAGAATCAAAATGTCCTTGACATTTGCATATATGAGAGATTACTCTCTAAAACATACTAAAAACATACTGCAAATTACACATGTGAGTTAAATTGAGGAGTCAAAACTAACTCCTCAGTTTAAAATATGAATTATTTGGTCACACTTTAGTTTTTGTAACCAATTCTCAAGAACTAACTATATGTGACCCTGGAGCACAAAACCAGTCTTAAAGGGTTAGTTCACCCAAAAATGAAA